CAGGTGCCCACGCAGCTGCCCTCGAGACTGATCTTCGTCTGGCCTCTACACGTTGACCTTTCAGGCATGATTGGATCTACGGCTGTGAAGAGCCATCCTATGTAGCTCGCAGGGTCATGGAGACACGCAGGCTATCACACCACCTCAAGGTGCGGTCTCGTCGTGATAAATAAAGTAAAATATAAATAAATAAAATAAAGTGATCTATAGCATAACGGATTAATCAAAGTATTTTGCTGAAGCATTTACGTAAGAGTCAGTTTATTAGACCGGTATTTCGTTTGAAAGAGGAGGACGATTGAACTGGTGTTGTACGTATGGTCATTGAAATCTGACAAGAATGACTAGGAGTGAAATGGTTGGTGTCGCAAACAGTGACGCTGGTGCATCTAATCGTTATTTTCCTAACATCACTCTATGTGTATTCCCCACCTTCCGCTTGAATTTGCTTCGACATTCCAATCTTCATTTCGCTCTTTTATCCAAATGGGCAACCAAAACCGGCGCACGAATATGCGTGGTTAATGGTTGAAAAAACTGAACAACTGAACTCTTAATGTATTCAAATGGGCGTTCGAAGGATAGCAACCATAACCGGCGCACGATAGTGCATGGTTAATGGTTGTACAAACTGGAAGTTATTTGTCTTACGCAAAACTTTCCATTTACAAACGTTTCGTAAAATTCAAACGCACAAAAGCTTTTAATACAACTGACTTTACTCCATTATTGTGTGTTCGTTTATATCTCACTCCTTTGTTTGTAGCAACTGATTCACCCAATGTAATTCCATGTGGTTTATCATCCGGTAAAGGCACGAAAAAAGAATGACTCGACGTGCTGACCTAATCCCATTGCATGTTCGAATTCGTCAGGATGAGGAACGAGATGTTGATCTTCTTGTAAACGATTTAAGTGATTGGGTCGGTGTGATCCTGAAGTTCGAGGGTATACTGAATTGGGAAAATCCGCGGCTGTTGATCGCCATCTTGCTACTGGTCTCCAGTGTCTTTTTAATGTTTCATTTATATAGTCCAACAATCCTTTGTACTGTAGGTTGTTGTGGTCTGGCATTGAGTATACTGGACTATTTCGGACCAACCGTATCAGCCAGGTAAGTAGTTTGTTTTTTCCTAGTCTAACTGGATCAGATTGTCACATGAATTGTTGCCATTCGAGGCCGGTCGACGATATCGCGAGTTTTGTCGACGCTTGGTGCACGCGCGATATTTGATCATCACGTTCGTGCTGTTCATACGAGATCTGCGTGACAGGCACAGAGTGATTTACGTCTTGACCTGCATACCGCTACTTCTAATCTCCGGTTTCATCGGGTTGCATATCAGTGACTTGCTTTTATTCTACCTGTTGACCATTATTTGTCTATTGACTCCGGGGATTCGTCATACCGGTGTGTTTGGGGTACGTCTTTCAACTCATGCACTTTTTCCACCCATTTTTTTTACATATGGCCGTAGCGAAGTTATCTTTCTTTGTAGCGTAACAGTGTCAAGTTAACTGTTTGCTATACTCCACTCAGAAGTGCGAATTCAGCACGGGCCACAGAAGCAGATGATAAAAATTGAGAGCAAGCATGAATAGCAGACAGGAACAGCTAATTTGATTGCTTTTTCTGTTTTGGTGTTAGTGGTCAAGCGGCAAAGGTTACCAAATTATCGTTATCGAATCCCACCACCGCTGCCTGACTTTCCCCATTCATGGAGTATGGTCGCTTTCCCTTGCTGATGGAGACGCAGTGATTTAGTCACTGTCACTGGCGTGCTTTGGACCCTATGGTCCGAGGTTCGAGCCCCGCCACCGCCACCCAACTTTGGTAGACAGTTTTGCTGTCGTCCGGTTCAATATCACGCCTAACCTATCGGGGCCTTATATGGTTCGCCACTGCAAGTTCCGGGGCTTAGGTTACCGGTTTCCATGACGGAGCAGCAGATCCTCGTGACTATGGGGTTCGCCCCGTCTGCTGTTCACAGCAGCAGTGTGTAGTAAAAAAATATTCAATAAAGAGAAGAGAAATAGAAAAACATACAACAGCAGTTTATTCCATTGGGTCTGCAGTTCATTGCAAATAGGGTCCACGTTACAGCGGGACCTGACTAGAAAACGTACGACAGAGAATCCGTATGCATAGGTTCGAACCAACAGTTGCCACATTTTGAAACGAGTGCTTGTCGTTGATACACATCTACCTAAGTCGATGTGTAGACTAAAAGTTCTCTTGAAAGATTTTTACATGCCCGAAGGTGTTCGGGAGCGACTTCTGACAAGCGGTGTGCAAAGAAAGCCTTCGTATAGAGATAAAAATTTAATGGGTGTATGAATCTGTTGAATAAAAGTAGAGGTATACATCATGAATTTTTTTATTATTACACGAAAGCGAATACAGTAAAAGGGGTAAACACCATGATCCGAAGATATACTGTAAGTGGGAAGGTGTGGGGAACATTCAAGCTAGAGCCAGCTTGTTGATTCTGCGTTTAAAAATATGGATGTTGTATGTTGGAGGGAAGACCGAAAGGGGGAGAGTGTTCCACAGTTTTGCTGTTCTTGGGAAAAAAGATGATTGAAATTTAGAAATTCGACACCTAGGGATAGTCACTTGAAATGGGTGACTAGCCGCTTGTGTGTGGGATCTGCGAGGAAGAAAAGTGGGAGAGGGACAGATGCGGAAAGTTCATCAGAGCAAAAACCAAAGTAATATCGATAGAACAAGGATAAAGAAGCGACTGCCCGACGGTGAGCTAGTGACTGCAAGTTTGATGTTAGGGACGGGTCGTTGATGAGACGGATGGCCTTGCGTTGAACCCGATACAAGGTTCTGTCCGTTAACTCGAGTCCTGTGACTTGGATTAGTGAACTACATAAGATCCCAGTTGCATTGGTATTGAGTCGAACCACTGCGGAGCTTTCTCCCATCACAACTGGATGATGTTGGCAGCGTTCGGACATCGTACTTTAGGACCGGGAGCAAAACAGAGATAGCAGCTTAGGCCTCTTGAATGCCACCAACATGACTTATGTTGAGCGCTTGTTTTCAACACTGATCTTCGTGCCTTACTGTCTATAGTGGTACAATGGTAATGGTGGATGTTGGACACATTTCAGTGATTGTTTGAGAAGACCGGAATCGAGTAACTCAAAACAGTAAATTTTATTATGAGTCAAGCGGTTAATCCCAAAGTAAGTAACGAATAGATTTGGTGGCGGATAAGTAGGACCACTTCACCACCTAAAGAGGGAGAGAGAGAGAGAGAAAGAAAGAGAGCAGAAGGGGTATGGACTGCAAAACCAAAGTCCTGAGAACATCATCGTACAGCGAAATACAATGAAGCGAATTCCACCGATCACTGCCAAACTCTCAATGTATACTGAATCAGAGTTAATGTACAAGGTGGACAGGGATTGGACCTATTTCGAGGGAGAGAAAGTTAATCTCTTCTTGTATGATACACCATGGTCTGCTGAACCCTAAAGTCAGGAGGACCTGCTGTCAGTGATGGTAACTGGCAACCTAAGCCACGGGACTTAGAGTGGCGAATCATATAAGGCCCCGCCATGTTAGATCTAGTATTGAACCGGATGACAGCAAAGCTGTCTACCAAAGTTGAGTAGTGGTGGAGGTCGAACCTCGGACCATAGGGTCCCAAGCCGATAACAGCTACTAAATCACTGATCAACACAGATTACATAATTTAACTGTGCATACATACCTTTTCAGGCATTTTGACTTGATAAAAATGACAACAAGAATGTCACCGCTGTCGGTTCGCTGCCATATCGTTCAATGTTTCCAACCAACCAGTTGCAGATTCTTTCAGACCCCAAACTGAAAGGCGAGAGATATTACTTTACCTCGTCTTCATGTCATCTGATGACCTCCGCGAGGTTTCCTCCAGTACGGAGCAGCTAAAGCGAGTAAAGCGCGGTGTGGCAGACGACGGCTGGGCATACACAATACGTGCCCTAGCCAGTGAAGCCTACTAATCCGAATCCGGTGAACTAGCAAGTTTGTCCCTGATAGACTCCCAAATACACGATGGCCTATCCCAAGGTTACTAAACCACTCACTCCATTCCACTGAGTCAAACTGCGTAAACATCGGTGATGGAAAGCTTCTAGTTGATGGATATCTTCTACCCTCAAATTCAAATTCTCACAACCAAAAAGCAGAACTGAACAAACGGTAGCACAATATACACGACCTTTAAACTTCCGCGAACCGTCTCGTCTGCGCCTACCTAATTTGGAGAAGATATACACTGTAACCAATTCTTGGTAATTTAATTTCAAAACGAGACTAGGCGACGCCCAGTCTTGCAGCATCACTTTGCACTTTGCAAGGCACATACCGAATGTGGTAACACAACTTGTTAAAAGCTCTTTGCGCGTCCTCCGTACATTCGAACAGACGGATGATGTCATCAGCGTACCCTAAATCGCATAGCTTTTCTCCAGCTGCCCATTCAATACCTACGATTTGGAGACCAATTAGTGCATTCTCCAGTATCTCGTCTACTACGAGTACAGTGACTTAAGTGAGTTAACGTACTTCTCAAGAATTTCTTTTCGAAGAAGTGACACTCATTACAGCTTCGTGATTAGTTGAGTCGTGGGTTCCTTTCAGGTCAATCGTTGGTCGACGGTGAGTGTGACGCAGCTCAAGGATCTGACGCAACTCAAAAATTTGATCAGTACATCCACGGCCAGGTCGGAAGCCGTCCTGCCGTCTACGGATGTGGGCCTCTCTTAAAGGAGTCAGACGTCGAAATATGATGAAGGCTAACACTTTGGTGACGATTGGGACTAAATTTATCCCGCGGTGGTTTCCGCAACATTTGCGATATCCCTTCTCGAAAAGGGGATGGATCTTGGAAGGACTAGGAGGAAGCCGGTCCGGTCCCGCTGCTTTTCCTTGCTTCAAAGCTGGAATGCAAGAGCGAACTTGTGCTTCTACCGGAGGCTCGTATGGCAGTACCCAGTTGCAGATGAAGTATTCAGGCTAGCGCCAAGCCAACTGAACTGTTCGTCGAAGTACTCCGCCAAGCCATCAAGCTGTTTTTCTCTTTTGTGATTACCCCCCCCCTTTTAGCAGATTGCCTAAACTTGCGGATTTTGAAGGACAAACATCTGAGTTCGGCAATAGTATTCACTGTATGGGTAGGCCGTCTGACACCAATTTCTGTGGCAATATCAAGGTGCTTGAGGGTGCCCACTCTAATGACTAGAGAACCGTGAATGTACGAGGTTTCGTTGGACTAGGGGGAACTCGAAGGAGTGAAAGTTCACTTAGATACGGCGAGATTAAGGTCTGAATAGCAGTGCAGTCATCATGTAAAGGAAAATCAGAGTGGCGTGAAATAGCCAGATATAATACATCTGCATACTTCATAAGTTAGTCTGTTTTGCCCTAAATATAAGTCAGTGGCACGGATGTTTTTGAAATCTTCTTCTTTATAATACTCAACTCAACACTAAAAAATGTCAAACGAGTGAAAAAGAGTATCATTCTTGTGCTGATTCACTGTAATTGTTTGCTTCTTATATCGTTCTCTTTCGTTTTTTAGTCTGAAAGTTTTTTTGTTATTATTGTTGTTGCGTTGGCACTACATTTGTTCGCATATCGTTGTAAAATTATCCATGGCTTTAAAGACGAG